CTTCCGACGAGCATCGTAGTATACTCACTATATGTGTCCTTAGCACGCCCGAGGAAAATAAAGCGTATATATAGTTGGGATCTATAAGAAACCATCACCTGCCAACAATTCGTTCTACAGTTGAATCAAAAGTCGCAAACCCAGCTGGAGATAGAACATCCATTGCACGGTGGTAAAGCTTGTCTAAGCGAGTACTATGACCAAACTTCTTGGCAGCTGCCCGGGTCATCTCTCCAGCCCCCGCATAGTGTTCAACGAATCTATAGCCCTGGCAAAACATGTATGAAGCCTCATGGTTTTGATGTTTCACATGATTCCTTAACATCCAAAGTTTGTCCATTCAAACCATAGTGCAAGCCTGGCCAAAGCTGATCCGCTGATTCCACAGCAGCATCATGACGATCAAGACAAACAACTGCATTCACAAAAGGGCGGGTGACAATCTTCTGAACAAAACCCAATCCACAAAATGAACTATGCGCAATAAACAAACTCATATACATATGGCCTTAGGAGCTTCCCACTCCAATAGGGCAATGGCAACATCTTCAACAGTACGGGCCATGCCAAGCAAAAGAAAGACCCCCCAGCTAAGAGCAAAAAGAGCTGCTCTTTGGAAGCGTGCACAAAACTTCAAATATGTCTGCAGCAGACTGTGCACATAAAACTTGCATTAATGATTTGCCAACTGAGCCAGGGATACCCTTCGGTTTCGGTGCTGGCCGTCCTGGGAGAAAGCCCTTGCTCACAAGCAATTTGCCTGCCATGGTGTACCTGGAGAGCGGATAGTCGCGGACAGTATATCATGCAATACAGGTTTGATCCACGGTGGATCTATAGCCTTGCAAGGGGCCTCCTTTGAAACATTCAGGTTCCATGCAAAAATATTGGGAGGATGGCTGAAACCATGTCCATGAAGAATCCTGATCGACAATGTGAAGCACTACGATCATTTCATTTCCTTATAGTTGGGGGGATGTTGAGTGTTGTTCTCCACACACCTGCCCTTTTCTCTTTTCCAGACAAGGCATGATCACAGGTGAACTTGCCAGCCAAGCTTGCTCAAGTGGTTACACACTCCATGGAAACCGCCCCAACTATACATGTTACGTGCTATTGTGTGCACCCACTAAACGCCTGGCTGTATCCTACTTATGCTCACACACGCCTATGCTGTTCAATCTGCAGCCACAAAACCTAGAAAAGAAGTGGCAAAAGCACATCTTGGATCACACTCAGTCGCACTCTTGCAGGATTTGGCCCTTCTTGTTCAGGCACTCGCCTTTGGAAGTGGATTGGAAAGAAAAGCTAAACCCAAACACATTTTGGACATCATATTGACCCCACGCTGTCGCACTAACATTGCCAACTTGCCTCAACCAAACCAGAAACAAACCACACACCTTAAATCAAAAAAAATCCCTGATAAAATGAAGCCAGGCACAAACATGTCCCAACTTCAAGAACTTGTTCACAAGTTTCTGGTTGATGCACGTGACATCACCGCCCTTCTTCTTAAGCTCATCCCGGCAATGGGTCCACCAATACTCCTGTTTGCAAACAGACCGGATGATCAAGTTGGTTATATCTCTTTTAGTTTTCTTGGCCACGAGGCGGCCTATGAGGCATGCCCCTGGAAACATATACTAGCTTTACCAAATGGTGTACGCATGGGTTCCAAAGTTTGGAGAAACAATAGTACCCTTTAATGAACGAAACCTTCAATTATAAACACTTCACTTCATTTGTTGATAGCGCTCCTCGACATAAGAGTGGTAGTTCACATATGGCCTGATCGCGGTGTCATAGACCTCCCGTTTCTTGTCCCACTTCATGGCCTGAGCCTCGATCTTCGGACGGTACCGCTTCGCGAAGGTTGCCTTCTCTGAAGCCTCAGGTGCATTCACTGCCTCATTTTTCTTCGCCTTCTTTTTCGGCTGTGGTGCCTCCACATCCTTCTTCACTTTGCGCTTCTTCTCTGGAGCGCCCTTGGAATCTTCCTCATTTTCTTCTTCTTCTTCCGGTTCTTCTTCTTCCGGTTCTTCCTCTTCCGGTTCTTCTTCTTCCGGTTCTTCTTCTTCGGGTGCCTTTGACTTCTTTGTCTTGGATGGTTTGGTCTTCCCTTTTGCCGCTGCCTTGGCTTTGGCCTTGGCTTTGGCCTTGGCTCGTGCCTTGGCTTTTGCACTGGCTCTTGCCTTGGCCCTTGCCTTGGCCTTGGCTTTTGCTCGCGCCCCTTTCTTGGGCGCCTCTTCATCTTCATCTTCATCGCCCTTTTCCTCATCCTCATCCTCGTCCACTTTGTCTTTTCCTTTGCGCTGTTTGGCTTTTGCAAGCGCAAGCTGCTGTTCACGCAGCATCTCCTGGACTTCAGCCGTACTTTTTTCTCTTCACGTTTCTTGGCGTCCATCTCCTGACCAGGGTCAAGTTCACCAATCTCCGCAACCCAAACCAAAGCACGGAGGGTGGCTTGAATTGAACAGAAACTAGCCAAAATAACAAGAGATGCAATTATGAGTCCTTGGCCAATGCTTCATTCTCTTTGGCTTGGCACTGGGTCATCTTCTCCTCCAAGGCCGAGCTTGCTGACTGTCCGCCCGCTTCTGCTGCAGTCTCTGTCTGCACCACCCTTGCGGCAGTCTCAGGCTGCACCACCTTTGCAGCAGTCTGAAGCTCCGCTGCCTCTGTGGGAATCTCAGGCTCCACCGGCGCAGCAATCTCAGGCTCCACTGAATCACTTAGATCGATTGCTTGGGTCGGCAGCGCCAAGTGACCTCAACTTGCCCCCAAAATCATTTTCCTTGTGGGGAACAGGGTTGGTTTTGGGGGGTCCCAGGCCAAGTGGGAAGTTACCAGCCTTAAACTATAGGAAAAATGAACATATTAACATTCGAGCAACCCATGCTGCTTTGCCCTGTCTTGCTCAAATCTGTGCCGTGACCATCAGGAGGATGTTCTGAATTTGCTTGCACCTGCCTTGTGTGATGACATCCACAAAAAAAACCTTGCGCGCATGTAAGCCAATGAAAGCTAATGTTCCAAAAGAACCTTGAAAAGACAAATTTAGCAAACAAATGTTCTTGACGAGGAACATTTTTTGCTTCACAGCCCGAAGAAGCTGCTGCAACTGAACTGCACTGGCCCCCCCCATCTCAGCGATTTCCCCATCCTGAGAACCTATGGGTGCAATCACAGGAGCGGAAGCACCAGCAGCAGGAGCAGCAGCTGCAATTGCGGGGATCTCTGTCTGCCACGGTTCCAGTGGCTGCGTGTCTGGTGACTCCATGGCTAAACGCTCCAGCTCCCTCCAAGACCTTTCCTGCTCTTCCACAAAAGATTCGTTGCTGCGAGTCAATGCTGAGCGGATTGTCATGTCGCTACAGGAGCAATTGTCATCATCAACATCACCATCATCGTTCTCATCATCAAAGAATGGGGAGCGGCCTTCCTAGGTAGACAAGTAGGCCCTTTACGTTGTCACCGATGTGGGTTCAACAAACGCATGATGAAAAAGTGAAAACACTGCAAAACAAAACCAGACCGAGGGTCTTTGAATGCTTTGTCATGGGCCTTGCTGAGGTCCTTGACCAAGTCCCGAACATAGCCGTCCTAAAGAGCATATTCTGTACTCCAAACATGTTTAATGGAGCCAGCTACAAACTTTCAACCACCAAAAAACGGAACAAAATTTCAGGGTAAACAAACAATCTAGTGACCCGAGGCATCTCCCATCTTGACCACTTGCGTTTCACAACATGGAGCATTCTCTTGATGTGGTACGCTGTTCCGTAGCAAAGTGCTTTGACCTCTGCAGTGCCTGTATCGGCCTGCATCAACTCGTAGAAAGCAATCACAGGTTCCTGGATCATACGAATCCTGTTGGTACAAATAATTCCAGCAGCAGCCATGTGTGCCGTAAAGCCCTTCAAGATCGGGTAGTTCAATTTCAGGTTGGGAAGCGATGGGGCTATGATGGTGGAGTCTGTAGAGTCTTTGTCAACCATCAACATCTCTTTGGAAATCGCCCGCTTTCTCAACTCCCGGTTGCCCTCCCAGGACCGGACACATGGCTCTTTGTAGGAAAATTCCTCACCACTCGGCGATTTTGACTTTGCCACCATGACTGCTATTGAGTGCCACCTATTCCCACTCTAGCCAAAATTTGCGGCAAAGTACAGTTGTTAGAGGGGGTGCCCCAAGTCAATCCCAAAGATGATTCCCAGAGCATTCCCAGTTCCGCTTCCGAAAGCCTTCCCCAATCCCATGGGGCACCACTCCGGGTCAAAGAGCTCACCTCGCCGCCGAGGCTCACCCCTGTCATGAGCAAAGCGAAGGGAGAAAAAGGGATGGGGATCCAGTGGGATCACGCGGCACAGGAGCATGCAGCATACAGCATCTAATCATGCCAGATGGACTCTCCATCACGGCTTTGCCAAAAGCCGAAACCATCATGGCTCGCATTGAGCAGTTCAAGTTGGCAAGCTTCGTAGTTTAAATCATCCTCTTGTCAAGGTTGTTTATAAACATCAAGTGCAGCAGATGTGTTTTGTGATATCATGAATATCTTGTGGAAAGTTAATCTTCAAGAGCAGTGCTTAAAAAACTTCACTGAGCCATCGTAAGCTGGTGAAAATAGTAAGTGTCGAGGCACTATGAAAGAACCCTCAACAGGAAGTGGTCGTTTCAAGGAAATGGTCGTTCACACAAACCACCAAAAGTTTCTGGTCGTTGGGTTACCCAGGTATATATATATATATTTAGATTATATGCAACATCTGTTTGTTACTTGTTACTGTATCTTTCTAGGATAACTTTCTCGAAATCTGCAAGGCGCACGATAACATGCAAAGCAGGAAGTTGGCCCAACTCTTGACCCGCCCATCCAGGCTTGAATAATATATAATTCATGTATATTCATGTTCTATGCTGATTTGTAACATTGCGTTTGCTTCAATCAGCAATGAACACCATCGTCCAACCTGATTCGACACAGTGCAAGGATCTGAGGAGGTGTGCCAAGGCGATAAATAGGCACAAGCAAACAGCATGCCCACCACATAGCATTTGTTCAATGAGGAGCGAGATAAAAGCCAGGGGAAAATGACGTAGACTGTCAAGCATCCATACCTGCGGGTTTGAGCCCGTCGTGCATCTGTGATCGTAATCTTTTTGTAGTCTGGATCCAGCATGCGAGCATCAACACGTTTTTCGCAACAACATGGCACTGACGGCCCAGTGTGAAAATCACCCAGTACTTATCAGAATACCTTCCTTTACATGTTCACGCCATCTGGACCCTCTGCTCGCAGGGAGGGAAACGACTGGCACGCTGATGCTCAACCTATTCCTTTGGTGTCACCAATGAAACTTCGTGAAACCATCGACCAAAGAAATCCGGAAGGCGCCAAGAACTCGTGGTGCCACCATCTTCACAGCTTCGACCCCAGAATTCAAGCCCTGACGGCCCTGAGAATCGGTCGATTCCAAGGTGCTGATCTGTCTATTCCAAGCCCCCCGGAGACATCGAGTCCCGAACGAATCGGACCCGAGGTCTCTCGGTCTCTTCGCCCAGCGACACGATGACATTGGTCCAGGTGAAGGCAGGAGACATCCACCTGAGAGTGTCAAACGTCCGCTCAGAAAATGGGGGATGAGACATCCGCTGTTCAGTTTACTGTGTGGCACAAGTGAGATCACGTTTGCCGTCTAAAACTCTAGAAATTCCGCTGTCACTGCTTGCTGCCTGGATCTTCTTGCAATCTTGCACTCTAGTCAAGTCTCTTCGACAGAGATTCCAACGTTTCATCCACACTGAAAGAAGTGAATGCACTGATGCTTGGTAAGTGGTTACATCTGGACTCCGGACCCAACTAAAAACAAGACCTTGACCAAGCAAGGTGGAACATTCAGCGTGAATCAAACCTTTATTAATCTTTATTAAAACCCAGCAGTGAACACCCAACAATTTGAACCACAACCAACCAGAACATACAGTAACTATACTATCCAAATGCATGTTCACATATAATATTTATTGGCCAATTACACAAAACAAATGTTGGACGCCAAATCTGAGTTGATGTTCTTGGTGATACCCAACGACGGCCGTGGCCTGTGCCGTCCCAAGAGCACATTGTATTGGATGGACAGCAACGAACCTTGCGACTTTACGCCGCAAGGGCAAGCAAAAACAACCCATCAGGTTTTTTGCATCTGCATCTCTCGTAATCATGATATCCTAAAACACAAATCCAGCTGATTCGCTGCAAATGTTGGGGGGTGGAGCGGAGCCAGTGTCAAACCAAGAGGGAAAACAAACTGAAACAAACACAATGATAGAAACACTCATTGAAGTGCCAACCAGGAGCTCAGACTCAAAAAACTATAAGCCAACAGAAAGCGATGAGACCACAAGACTTGCATGTCAGCAACAGCTTCCTGGGCCAGCCGCCTTGGGATCCGGCGAGATCTAACCGTGGTCGGAAGAAGGACGAGTATGACCAGACGACAAACAGTTTGGATCTTCACGAAGTATTTGAAAGTTGATCTAGCCAGCAGGGGCTTCGGGAACTTCCGCTCCTTGGTTTTATTGTAGCATCTTTAAATACAGTACACATTCCAAGCAGCTACTGATCATCGGTAGCTTGAGGTTTGTGAAAGATTTGCCCCCTATGCACCACAACAAGCGCATCAAAATCACCTGGACCCTTCGGTGTCCGCCGGCGACAAGGGGTTCACAAAGCTTGCAAGAAGCACGCAAGTGGAACCTTCAGACACATCACTATCTGTCACTATCCTTCAGTATATGTCTTTATCTTTCCCAACCTCCCAAACCCCTGCACCGATCCACCGATCCAGACCAGTCGGGTGACCAAAAGGTAAGCATGGCGTATTTCCACAAAGAATACTTTACTTCGAGTCATCCCCACCATGACACTTCAATCAGTTGTCTTCATGCCGTGGTGAGGAGCATGTTGCCATGGTCGTGAGGTTTGTGGTGCTCGGCTTTGTTTGCGGGTACTCGGGTTGTGTGCTGTGGTTGTGTGCTGCGGTTGTGTATTGTGGTTGTGTGCTGTGGCTGTGTGCTGTGGTTGTGTGCTGTGGTTGTGTGTTGTGGTTGTGTGCTGTGGCTGTGTGTTGTGGTTGTGTGCTGTGGTTGTGTGTTGCAGTTGTGTACTGTGGTTGTGTGCTGTGGATGTGCCTGTCTTTGTGGTTGTGTGTCTGTGATTGTGTTTGTGGTTGTGTGTTGGTTGAGGTCCGGCAGCGCCCAGTGCGCTCGGGAGCTGGCGGTTGAGGTCCGGCGGGGAACACTGCCAGCCAGAGCTCGCGGTTGAGGTGAGGAGGCGGCGGATGAGGCGGAGGCGGAATGCTGACACAAACCTAACAACCCTCACCTGACAGGTGGGGAATGGTGGGGAATAAGGAAAAATGCTCCACAATAAACACACAAAACTGTTAGGGGCAAGCCGCTGCGCGGCAGGCGGGAGCAGAAAAAAACACCGATGATTGATTTAATTTGACACATCACATCACATCACATAACTACATGACATCACATGACAAATTGTGACAAGCTGTTTCTTCAAGTAGGCTTTGTTTTGAGTCACGAGTAACTCAGATCACACAACAATCCTCAAACGCGTCAAAGACCGCCCATTCAAGACAAGTTGAACATGGCAAAATGATAAACACATCCCCAAGAACCCCCCTTGCAAAAAGTCGTGATATCGAAAGCGGCCCCCGTCTTGAGACCAATCACGTGGTGGTGGACTTTCGCAGCATCCGGAAGCAATGTCGTGGCCAAGTGCAAATTTGCCGTAAGATGGTCCAACAGGCACATCCAGCACTCCGATGGATGGAATGAAGAAGCTTGATCAAGAAGAAGGCCTCCAACCTCAACTCGAAGCTGCGTGCTTCGCAAAGGGGCTTGTTCGACCGTTCTTCACAGTGACTGAATGGGTCAAAAGCGTCCACAAGTTGAAGAACAATGCTCCATAGATGATTGGAATTGACCAAGTCCAATTGAAACACTGCATCCTCACTCTGGTATCTTCTGAGGCTTTTTCACACGTCTGATCTTCGATCACAGAAGAGGTCTCTCCGCTTCGGATTGGAATCCCGACCAAACTCTCTCCTACGACGGCCCGACCGTTCAGGCCGTGGAACTCTCTCCCAAAACCCGACCGTTTCAGACTTCGAGACACGACCACGACAACGAGACGAAACCCCCACCCCGTTCCCCGAGGTTCCGGTTCCGGCCGGGTTCCAAATGTGCACGGGAACCGACAGGAAGCTCCGAGCAAACTGACTCTCTTTTTTCATGAAGCTGTTTCGTGTGGCAGCCAGGCAGCAGGAATGATACCATCAATAGCACAGCCTCCTCCATCACGCTTGCAGCGAACAAGGCTCCAGACCCTCCAAAGGAGCTGGTTCAGGGGTTGTCACGGCCGAGAATCTTAGTCTCGAAGCTTGGAGCCACTGCTGACCCGTTAGTACCACAATCCTGCGATCCTGCACAAATTGCGGGTAGGATGGGTCAACCACTCCTGTGCTTGAAGTCACCCACATGCCATTCATTGCCATTCTAGATCCTACTCACAGCAAGCAAAGGGATGCAAAGCGTCCCTTGTGGCATGTGCTGTTGCACAAAACGTTTCCCAAAACAATAGAACTGTTTGCCCTGGTGAAGCATGCAATCTCTTCAACTTCCCACCCTGGACCACCTTGACGTGCCCCAACCTCTGAATCCCCCCCCCAAAAAACGCCCCAGCTCTCTGAGCCGTAGACTTCTTTTCCTTTTTGGCCGCCTTTTTTTGGACCTTCGCCAGGGCCATGTCCACCTTAGATCTTCTCCCCAAGGGCTCGGCTCGACCGGCTCGGTGCGTTGATCGGCTGATGACAGTGATGACATGACCGATCGACATAGAATTCACATAGAATTCACATAAGTCTAGATCGGGAGATCCACGCTAGGGCCACCACGTCCTTTTGTGAAAGTCGTTTCCTGACCTGCAAACACATTCAAAAGGAGATCGGGTGTGAATTAGAATTTGTGTGACCATGGCAAGTGCATATTAACAAAAATAATCAACATTCTACGATGTAGATGAGATCATTTTGATGTTAATACATATAGAGAACGAAAGTGAACAACTAAGCAACAACACAGCACAAACAATCCCTAGTTTCTCTTAGAACCTTGGGATCCCTTATCCAAGATCGTCAGAGATCTCTTACTTAACCGACAAGGGTTGCCTGTGCACACGATGTCCCACACAGCCTCGCCACGAGCAAAGCCTTGCAGCTCTTCCTCCTCGTTTGGCAGGCTCCGGTGCGCCTCAGCGTCCCCGTGTCACGGTGATACCTACAGGCGATCTTAGGCACGCCTTTTTTGGGCACGTATCAAGGCGATTTCAAGGCGTATCATGGAAAGTGAGATCTAGAAACCAATCAATTGAAGGGATTTGGCCTACTTGATTTCAGGAGTTCGGGACTTGTCCCAAACACCCCAAGGAAGCCCGCTCGTCTTGCTCCACCTTCGTCGGCACCGGACGCGGTCGGACGCGACACCGGACGCGGTTCTCGAACCGCGGTAGTCGGTTCGCCGGAAGGCAGGAATCCAAGGCCAAGAGTCACTGTCGGTTCTTCTTTTTGGAAGGCCAACATGAGTCACTTGGTCTCAAGTTTAGGAAGGCTGTTGTGTTGTGGACTACAACAGTCACAGCAGTTCAAGTACCTCACAGCAGTGTGGTTTTGGAGATCAAAAACCCCAGGTGGTATTGACTCACCAAAGGTTGCTGGCAACAACCCTTTCTTCGTGGACAACGTACTCTGCCTCGCGTTGTGCAATGGCCGCCCTCTCTTTGGAGAAGCCTTGGCGGGATGAGGGAGCTGGTAGAGCTTGCCAAAAGGTTGCATTTAGCAAATGATTCCAAAAGTAAGTAGCAAACTGCAGGCTTTGGACTAGGAACGTTCCTAACACTATCTAGCTGAGCATTTTGTAAATCTACAAAAGGTACAAGAACACAGCAATCAGAATGTTGGCAGTAGAACATCGTCAAAGTCCGCAGTGCAGGGCTACAACACATGCAATGTACAGTGCAGCAGCCAGGTTGTCACAGTCTTCCTAATTGCCGACTACTGTCAGAAACATAAGTTGCCAAAATAAAAGCACTGTATCACTGGTGAGAAACATTAAAACAACAGCAGTTATATAGAAGCAGCACAAGAAATGACCGAGTTGATTCGCAAACATACCATCATCGCACCCGTCTTGTTCTGAGAAGCAAACACTGGCAATAAGACCCCAAGAGTCTAAATGCCCAAAGAAAGGAATACCAACGCCCCAAATTGATTTTATATATGTTGTTTTGACATGTATTTTTAGAGGATGAGGATGAATGAGGCATGAAAAATGGTCCCTGAAAAAGACTAGGATGGTTTTCTTGTCCAGTGCCTGTGCTGGCTTTGGGTGACTGAGTCAGTGCCACCACTTCATATAGCCCTGCATTCACTCCGGGGTGCTTTTCCGTTCGTTGAACCTCAAAGAACCGAATCCGCCCCCGCTGCTTGGCCCAGTGGCAAACGCCAACTGCTGCAGTGTTCAGAGTCTCTCCCTGAAGCAACTCCTGCGACGTCGACGTCCGCGACGTGGGTCCTCGGGACGACCCTTCGACGGGAGGTCTCTTGACGCTGCGTCTGGGTGACCCACAATGACCCACACATTGATCTCGGATTGGGTCGGGTTGCTTTAAAAGAACATACAACGCTCGGCGTAGTTGTGGGTTCTTTGCAACTTCTAATTACGAGCATTGTAGTTCAAAACATGCTCGCCAGGTTCTGCAAAGAAATGCCGCAATAAACTCCATGCACCTCATTCCACTCATTCCACCTCCATCCTCACGACTGTTTTACTACCAATCTCCCTCTGACTCTGACCGCAGGCCAAGTAAGAGTATCCCGTCCAGCATTAAAACCAAGGTGGAATAAGAGTATCACCAACCCTGCCGAGGACGCTCGGTGAACGGTCGCGTCAGGCTCGGCTCTCCTCTCCAGGGAATTCCGTGGCCAGCCACGCCTCGAAATCGTCCGAGTCCTGAAGGCCTGGCATCGACGTCTCCGCGACGCCGGCGTCCGGACAAGACCACTCGCACCGGGATCTAGATCTCCACCCGGGCCGGATGGGTGGAACAACGTGTTATTATATATATATACTATATACTGTCTATATAATTACTGTCCCTATATATATATATGCATAAATATATATATATACACATTATCGTGATTCTATATAAGATATGGTGGCAGTGCGTCAGTTGCTGATGAAATATATCAACAAGGGGCCCGGGAGACACCTTTCAGAAACAAGCAAAATAAAACCTTGGCCCAAAGGACATGTTGTTTCTACATATCCATGGTTTTGTGTTTTATACATATCCAAATTCTGTCGACGGCCAACGAACCAGCAAGGAACCCGTTTCATGTCCGAGGTGGGTCGAGGACATGTCAACAAAGAGACCTCTGACCCGGACGCCCGAGGCACCCTTGGCTCTGCCGTGCTGACCGCCGGATTAACAAACACAATCATATATACATTATACATCAGGATCATGGAGGCAGTGCAACAACCAAGCACTTCGCTCGAATCGGATCCATGCAAATCTTCAGACTTCTCCGACAACTTCAAACAACATTGTCCCTTGGCGGATTGTCACTAAAGCCAAACATTCTTGGGTCGAGTTGTTTCGGTGTTTTCAAATCCCTTGATCATGTTGGATGATGTTACATGTTATACTATAGTTATAAGTATAGCCTTTGCTCACTGTGGAAAGCCTCCTGTTTCGTAGAGGGTTCCATCATCTTCCAAGGGGCCATGCCATCCACTTCTATGCTAGTTCCATGGGAGTGTATGTTGTTCATTCCCTATATGAGAGATGTTATATGATGACTTATATGATGTCATAGTTAGGTTATAGCCCAAAAAGGTGGTGAGCTTCCCTTTGGCAGCTTTTCTTCTTCCGAACATCGAAGCCCAATCCATCAACGCCTAGGAGTTGGGCCGCTCGTCCAGAACGAACCTCACAGTGAGTTGCGGCGTGGGCAGCCCGTGGTGAGTCTGAGCATTTCGTTGGAAGAATTCGGAAGATGGAGGTATTGATATACTTAGGGCAGTGGATGTTCTGTATTGTCTATGATACACCGTCCACAACAACAAATATAGTTGCTCTTGCCCCTGGTTTCTGGCAAATTTGTTTGTTCCTTGAGTCTGGTTCTGAGTCCTCGATTCTGGTGAGTCTTCTGCTGAGTCTCGTTCTCTTATTGAACTTATTTTTCATGATACGAGCTTTCTGGGAAATTGTGATCACAAATCTGATGGTTAGTTTCAACCCCCAAGATCAAAGCTTGCTCTACGAATGTGTCTAATTCCGAACGCACCTCTCACAATCCATGCGGACTCACACGCATGGGCCCCGGCCCCAAAACCACGGCTTTCAGCTTCTTCATCAAGACCAGACCCATCAAGCAGGCACTCTGCCAGATCCACTGAGCTCCTCCGACCCCTTGTGGAAAGGCTTTCGCCAAGACCTCCAGGCTCTTTCTGCGGACCTCGGCGAACGAATCCACTCCAGTGTGTCCTACCCTGGTGTCACACTTGGTGACCCCGAGCTGGTGGCATTCGGTCTGTTCTACCTAACATGTGATTTGTGATTCCAGATTCTAAGAAACCTAAGAGACATCACTAGCGACCTTGATACAACAAGATGGTCAACAAAATGGGCCATGTGTTCAACACTCTTTGACATCTTGAGCTCCAAACAACAGAGCTGCAGGAAGGCCAAACCACAGATTTACTAAAAAAACTCACAAACACCTATGGAATGGGAAAAGTGCCGCACCATATATGATTTATATATACCTGGAGTCTCAAAGTACCTCGGAAAATGGGTACAAGTACCTTTTTTTTATGGGGTCATGTCCCATTTTCTAAGGAATCGGAACACTTCCCCCGTTGGTCTGGTGCGTGCAGACGCGGACGAATGTTCAACAAATCCCAGTGCCTTGATGTCAGGAAGGCGAGGTGTTGTGTGGGGCGGAATCGTGTCTTCTTTCGACGATCCGTTTTCGATTGGGAAATTCAATTTCAATCAGAAATTGCGAAAGCTTTCGGCACGCCATGTCTCATAGAGGCTTTCGCGGGGCTTTTGCCAACCTTTCCCGACCTGCTTTTGGGCTCTCGCAAAAGCATGTGAGCTTACATGTTGCACACTTTTCACCGTTGAGGTTCTTGAACTTACTCTCAAATATATATATATATACAATATGTATGTATATAATATGTGTATACAGTATCTGTATCTATATATATACATGTTGCAAGTCAGTGGCATGATCTGGTATAGCATGATGCTTCCAAAGAGGCCTCAAGTTTTCACTTCAGCTTGGATTGCTTTCCTAATCTTTCCTACGTGTTTCGATAAAACATGTTCAATAAGGCTCCAGCACCCACGAAGATCATGAACCCGTGGATTTAATTCAAAACCGAATGATGCAAACTCGCTGGATTGTGAAGCAAAAACATGAGGCTGAGAAAAAGCTGATCGGTCAGTGATCAAATGATCAATGCCCTTGAAGCCTGTCTACAGTATGAGTCCTGACTTTGTTCGGCCGCAACTCTTCGATTGGGTGATGAATTGAATATCCCAAGCTGCTTAGGCTCATCAAATTGTGAAGGGAGAGAACA